GGTTCGGGAACCACAGGATTTCATCTCTACTTTTTGCGGATGATGTCGTCCTGCTGGCTCCAACGAACCAGGACCTGCAGCATGCACTGGGACGGAGTGTGAAGCGGCTGGGATGAGAATCAGCACCTCCAAATCCGAGGCCATGGTGCTCGACCGGAAAAAGGTGCCTTGCCCTCTCCAGGTGGGTGGAGAGGTCCTTCCTTCAAGTATCTCGGGGTCTTGTTCACGAGTGAGGGGAGGATGGAGCGTGAGATTGACAGGCGGATCGGTGCAGCGTGCGCAGTGATGCGGTCTCTGTATCGGACCGTTGTGGTAAAGAGGGAGCTGAGCCGAAAGGCAAAGCTCTCAATTTACAGGTCAATCTTCGTTCCCTCCCTCACCTATGGTCATGAGCTGTGGGTAATGAACGAAAGAACGAGATCGCGGATACAAGCGGTCGAAATGAGCTTCCTCCGCAGAGTGGCTGGGCGCTCCCTTAGAGATAGGGTGAGGAGCTCGGTCACACGGGAGGAGCTCGGAGTAGAGCCGCTGCTTCTCCACGTCGAGAGGAACCAGTTGAGGTGGCTCGGGCATCTGTTCAGGATGCCTCCTGGACGCCTTCCTGGGGAGGTGTTCCGGGCACGTCCCACCGGGAGGAGGCCCCGGGGAAGACCCAGGACACGCTGGAGAGACTATGTCTCTCAGCTGGCCTGGGAACGCCTAGGGGTCCCCCCGGACGAGCTGGAGGAGGTGTGTGTGGATAGGGAAGTCTGGGCGTCTCTGCTTAGACTGCTGCCCCCGCGACCCGGCAACGGATAAAGCGGAAGAAAATGGATGGATGGATGGACGGTTATTACAGGTGATTTTAATATTCATGTGGATAATGTTGATGACAGAAATGCAAATGAGCTGAGTTCTGTACTTGAATCCTTTGGTCTCACACAGCATGTGAGTGGCCCCACCCACAGCAGAGGGCACACTCTAGATCTGTTAGTTACTAAGGGGGTGAATATTTCCAATGTAAACGTGGTCGATGTTGCTCTTTCGGATCATTTCTGTGTTTTTTTTTACATGTGTTTTACTAACAAACCACTAGTGGACTCTGCAACTGTTCGAAGAAGGCGCATAAATGAAAATACGAGTGATCTATTTATGGGAATGGTAAACTTTGAGAATGCATCGTGTTCTACTGTAGATGAACTGTTTAACTCTGTCACCTCTAGTGTTTTGAATGTTCTGGATACCGTTGCCCCTGTGAAGGTTAAAATAGTGAAAAATAAGCAGAAGGCGCCGTGGGATAGATCTGAGTGCTGCCTTTGACACCGTCAACCATGAGATCCTCTTACAGAGATTAGAGGACTGGGTTGGCGTCGCTGGCACCGCCCTAAGTTGGTTTAGGTCTTACCTTGAAGACAGGAAGTACTTTGTGGAGATTGGAAACTGTGTCTCAGATCATATGGCCCTGACCTGTGGAGTACCACAGGGGTCGATCCTGGGACCTCTTCTGTTCAATCTCTACATGCTGCCGTTAGGTCAGTTAATACGCAGAAACAAAGTTTCCTATCACAACTATGCAGACGACACTCAGATCTATGTCTCACTGACTGCAGGAGAACATGGACCAGTGGACTCACTCCTTCACTGTATCCAACAGATCAGTGAGTGGATGCAAAACAACTTCCTTCAGCTAAACGCAGACAAAACTGAAATTATTGTCTTTGGTCCAGAAACAAAGAGAGAGCGTCATCTGTCACCTCCAGTCTCTCTCCCTAAAACCTTCAAACAAGGTCAGAAATCTAGGGGTAATACTGGACTCAGACTTAAATTTTAATAGCCACATCAAATCAGTAACATCAGCAGCTTTTTACCATCTAAAAAACATTGCCAGGATCAAAAACATAGTGTCTAAAGCAGACTTGGAGATTCTTATCCATGCATTTGTCTCCAGTAGGTTAGACTACTGCAATGGCCTGCTCACAGGTCTGTCCAAACAGGCTGTAAAACAGCTGCAGTACATTCAAAATGCAGCAGCTCGAGTCCTGACTAGAACCAGGAAGTACGACCACATTAGTCCAGTCCTCAGGTCTCTGCACTGGCTTCCTGTGGCTCAGAGAATAGACTTTAAAACAGCTCTGCTTGTTACAAGTCTCTCCATGGCCTCGCACCAAAATAGATTAGTGACATGTTAGTACCATACGAACCAGCCCGGACTCTGAGGAGCACAGGGACTGGACTCCTGCTGGGACTCTGAGGAGCACAGGGACTGGACTCCTGCTGGGACTCTGAGGAGCACAGGGACTGGACTCCTGCTGGGACTCTGAGGAGCACAGGGACTGGACTCCTGTTAGTGCCCAGAGTCAGGACTAAACATGGGGACGCTGCTTTTAGATTCATGCTGCTAAAATCTGGAACAATCTTCCTGAAGATGTGAGACAGGCCTCCTCTCTGGCAATGTTTAAAACCAGGTTAAAGACAGTTCTGTTTAGCTGTGCTACAACTGAGGGATTTTATATTTTTAGCTTTCTTATTACGTTCAGCACTTTGAATTGCCTTGTGTATGAATTGTGCTATATAAATAAACTTGCCTTGCCTTGCCTATATGTGTGTGTATATGTGTTTGTGTGTGTGTCTATGTGTGTGTGTGTGTCTGTGTGTGCGTGTGTGTCTTCAGGTGTTTGCTAGCACTAGCTCAATGAAGCTCAATAGGGAAGTGCTCATGGTTGACGTTTTTTCTCCAACTTGTTCTGACTTCTGAGAACAAACAGGAAACTACAGAAAATATTTGACTAAAACCTTTCTTTTGTTTGGAAAGTAACCTCCTCAGTAACCAGTGTCACACCAGTTTGGCCTCTATGATCCTGTTTTAGGATTTGATCTTTGTAAATCAGTATGAACCACATATGAATTGATCAGTTTCCTTAATTTTTAGGGAAAACTCCAGCTTTCTTTAGCGACCTTCGTAGCAACACGTCTGCTCACGTTAGCACGCTAAGCTAAAGTTGTTGTAACAAATGCTTGTGTGGGGAAATCGGCTCCAGCTAGCCTACTGTATGTTGGAATTAGCTTCTTCCACATTAAGGATAATTCAATTCAATTCAGTTCTTTCTTGTTTCGCCCTAAAGTACAGCAGTATTTATCTCAGAGGACTTTACAAAACCATTCCCCAGATCAGAGAATCTTTGAACTACCAACCTCTTGTTTCTTTTCTCTGGACATGGAACTAACCAAACAAATCTACAGTATGACCTCAGATTCTGTCCCCGTCGCCCGACATGACTCCAGCGTTTTTGCAGATGGAATTTAATTACTGCTTTTATGCCGAACCGTGAAGATTTCAATAAACCAATTAAATCAAAACCTTTGTGGCTGACGGGAGCCTCTGCGTCATCTCGCTAATTAACTTTAGCGCCGTTGTCGAATTTGTATCCCGCGATAACGCCAACGATTCAAGCACCATTTCAATCACTGCCAAAGGAGAGCGGGAGATTATGCAGCCGCACGTTTTGTATTTTGGACTTTCTCTGAGTCTCTGATGCTGTTTGGGATCAGCAGGATCAGGCTAATGGATAGTGACGCCCCACACCAGGCCGGGGGAAGGGCTGAGCTCCTTTGGAAATGCAACGGATCGGATTTCTCAAAACACTTTTCCTGTTTTGGACAAATCCTCCAAAGTGTACGTCTTATTTCTTTGGTCCATCGTCATCGTTATAAAAACAGCTTCAGGTTTTAATACGAACAGAGAGATCAATAAAGTCCATCTTATCTTAAAGGACACAGTAGGTCGATCACATCAGAATCTCAGCTTTAATGAACATATCTAAAAAACTGTACTTCAGCTCTGTAAGAACAAACAGGAAACTAAATATTGACTAAAAAAAGATTTGACTTTATTATATTTAGAAATGTAACGATGTCGGGCAGAAGCATTATTTTCTCTTTCCAAATCTAGACATATTTATATCCTTTGCACAAATAACTAAAATGTGACTAAGAATTTGGTGAAAAAAGATCCAAAGCTTTTCATTTGAGAATTTTTATCTTTTATCTCTAAGTTTGAACTTTTGTGACATGTGGTGATTGTGAATTTGCAAAATCACATTTTTCAAACATAACTTATTGAAATAAAACAACAGGATACAGCCTGAAATCAAAGGACTTCAGCTGAAGGGAAAACCTATTAATGACTGTTTCAGTTCCAATATTTAACAAATACAAGATTAAAACTCACAACCTTCAGATTAGTGAAAGGAAAACAGTATTATGTCCAACATATTACTGTACTAATGTACTTTGTCATTGTGTGTGTTTCGTCTCTATAAACAATACAATACAAATACAAAATAATTATTAGAACTGCTCTGGTGTATCACTGCTACAGTCAGACACAGCAGCTACAGTCAGACACAGAGCAGCTACAGTCAGACACAGAGCAGCTACAGTCAGACACAGAGAAGTTACAGTCAGACAAAGAGCAGGTACAGTCAGACAGAGCAGCTACAGTCAGAAACAGAGCAGCTACAGTCCGACACAGAGCAGCTACAGTCAGACACAGAGCAGCTACAGTCAGACACAGAGCAGCTACAGTCAGACACAGAGCAGGTACAGTCCGACACAGAGCAGCTACAGTCAGACACAGAGCAGCTACAGTCAGACACAGAGCAGCTATAGTCAGACACAGATAAGTTACAGTCAGACAAAGAGCAGTTTCAGTCGGACACAGAGCAAATACAGTCAGACACAAAGAAGCTACAGTCGGCACAGAGCAGCTACAGTCAGACACAGAGCAGCTACAGTCAGACACAGAGCAGGTACAGTCAGACACAAAGCAGCTACAGTCAGACAGAGCAGCTACAGTCAGACACAGAGCAGCTACAGTCAGACACAGAGCAGCTACAGTCAGACACAGAGAAGTTACAGTCAGACACAGAGCAGCTACAGTCAGACACAGAGAAGTTACAGTCAGACACAGAGCAGTTACAGTCGGACACAGAGCAGTTACAGTCAGACACAGGGCAGCTCACCTGGTCCCAGCCTCTGGATCGTCCTCTTGTAGGTGTTTGTAGCTGCTGTTGCGGGGCCCGTCCATCAGACCTGACGATAGTTTATGTTTCCCTCTTGGTTCCGGTGGAGTCCGGAGGAATGTGCTGTGTCTGTTCTGGACCGGGCTCAGGGACAGAGAGCTGCTCCTGCAACAAAAACATGGCGTCAGTTTGATCCACTCAGATCTATCTTAATGACCATTCATTACGGATTCTAATGTTGCATCTGCTTCTAGCGGAGAGATACCATGTGGGTAATGTTAGAGACAAGAATTATTGGGAAAAGACACATTTCTGTTTGACCTTTGGAGGCTTCTTCTGATGATGTCTTTGTCAAACGACTTTTGTTTTACTCAACAAGGAAACTGGAAACAATAAGTTCATTAGAAAATATGCTGAAAATGTAGAATTTAGGGTTAGGGCTCTTTAAGAGGACTGTAAATAGTGAAGGTAACAAACGACATTCGACTTCACACTGATGCAGGTAAAGTCACAGTTTTGGTCATGTTAGATCTTAGTGCCGCGTTCGACACTGTCGACCATGAGATCCTCATGCAGAGACTGGAGGACTGGGCTGGTGTCACTGGCACAGCCCTAGACTGGTTTAGGTCTTACCTGGAGGATAGGAAGTACTCTGTGGAGATTGGAGACTGCTTCTCAGATGATGTGGCCCTGACCTGTGGTGTACCACAGGGGTCGATCCTGGGACCTCTCCTATTTAATCTCTACATGCTGCCGTTAGGTCAGTTAATACAAAGAAACAAAGTGTCCTACCACAATTACGCTGACGACACTCAGATCTATGTCTCACTGACTGCAGGAGAACATGGACCACTGGATTTGCTCCTTCACTGTATCCAACAGATCAGTGACTGGATGCAAAATAATTTCCTCCAGCTAAATACAGACAAAACCGAAATCATTGTCTTTGGTCCCCAGAAACAAAGAGAGGGCGTCATTTTTCAACTTCAGTCTCTCTCCCTACTTCCTTCAGACAAGGTCAGAAATTTGGGGGTAATACTGGACTCAGACCTAAATTTCAATAGCCACATAAAATCAATAACATCAACAGCTTTTTACCATCTGAAGAACATTGCCAAAGTTAGAAATATAGTGTCCAGGGCAGACTTGGAGATTCTTGTCCATGCATTTGTCTCCAGCAGGCTAGACTACTGCAATGGCCTGCTTACAGGTCTGTCCAAACAGACCTGTAAGCAGCTGCAGTACATCCAAAATGCAGCAGCTAGAGTCCTGACAGGAACCAGGAAGTATGACCATATTAGTCCGGTCCTCAGGTCTCTGCACTGGCTTCCTGTGGCTCAAAGAATAGATTTTAAAACGGCTCTGCTTGTGTACAAGTCTCTCCATGGCCTTGCACCAGAATACATTAGTGACATGTTGGTGTCATATGAACCGACCCGGACTCTGAGGAGCACAGGGACTGGCCTCCTGCTGGTGCCCAGAGTGAGAACCAAACATGGGGAGGCTGCGTTTCAGATCCATGCAGCTAAGATCTGGAACAATCTCCCTGAAAATGTGAGGGAGGCGTCTACTCTGTCAATGTTCAAATCCAGGTTAAAGACTGTTCTGTTTGCCTGTGCATACAACTGAAGGATTTTATCTCCATTTTTAATGCACTGCTGTCATTTATTTATTTTTTTAAATTTCTTGTGTAATTTTGAAAGTTTTAATGGTTTTATTCTTTTGTGTGATTTTAATGTTTTAATTGTGATTCTGGTGTTTGTTTTATGTGATGATTTGTGATGTGGACTGTGAAGCGCTTTGTGTTGCCATGTGTATGAAAGGCGCTCTACAAATAAACTTTGATTGATTGATTGATAAATACTCCATCGGTTTCTAATTTGTTTAAAATACTTAGATAGTTTGTTCTTTAGTAATGACATAAACAACAAGGTACTGATGCTGGAGGGACTGGTTGCCTCGCTTCTGTCAGTGTGCCCCAGGGCAGCTGTGGTTACAGTAGTAGTTTATCACCACCGTGTTTAAAGTTAATGAAAAATGATGTGTGAAGCACTATAGAAAACCAATGCATTATTATTATTATTGGCTTGAAAGAACATTCTGAACAAAATGATTGAGCGGATCCCACCTGTGGATTCAGCCTCCGTTGTATTCAAAGAAAATAACCAAAACCATGTGACTCTTTGGTGTACGTGGCCTATTGTGCCTAATCGCTGAGAAAGGCGGAGTAATAATAATGTTCCATCAGCTCCTCTGTGTCGCTGATCATCAGGGACATGTTCTCTGCAGTGAAATAAGTGTTTGATTATCAGCGCCCCCTGCAGCTCACTGTTTAAATCATCTGTGGACACTAAGTGTCTGCTTCAAAGCATGAAAACCAGCGATAAAGCATCTTCAGACACAGATGTGGTTCAGTGCGACTGAAGAAAAGAACCTGAAAGAACATTTAGGAAGTTTAATGCTGTGTGTTTGTGCCGTGGCTTCATTAGCAGCTTCTCTCAGATGGGAGCAGGAGGTTGTCTGATTGGAGGAAGACTGAAAACTCTATGAATCATACTGTGTAATTAGCTACATGTGGAAATTAGGGAATGCGTATGCTAGCTTTGTTTGTTTGAGATGTCTCTCTCTCTCAGATTTAAACAGTAGAAACACAGGAAACACAGGTCACATAGATTTAACTCTGGAACATGGATTTGGAAGTGTCATTATTAGTGTATTATTATTATTTTAGACCTGCTTCTTCCTTATGCTGAAGTTGGAAATGTTAGATTTATTCCCTCATGTTATCTTTTGCATTCTTGAAATTTCCCTGTGAGTCACTATTTGACTCTTTGGGCTGAGAACTGATGGAGGTTCTTCTTATCAATGTTCTGTCTGTGAAAGTTTATGTACACTTGTGACTGAGGCAAAAATACATGATTTAAACATGATTAAACTTTTTTAGAGCCAGAAACTTTAGTAACATGGATAAAATAAAGGTGCCCGAGCTTTAAGTAAACACTGAAGATTACCATAACAAATACATGTTCTCAGTAAGCATTGAAGATTACCATAACAAATACATGTTCCCATGATCGGGAAAAAACTAGTGACAACGTTCCCAGAGTTAAAAAGAGCCAGTGTAAAATCTCTATGGACTCTCTAAATATGGACTGATTACAGTCTGAGCTGTGTAGCTTCTTACAACTGACACCAGGAATAATGTTACGGTATTGTCGAATTAGTGCAACAAGAATGTAAATGTGGGATCAAACTGTGAGAAGCATAAATGAAACATGATTGAAGTGTTTTCTAATTCACAGATACCAAACAGCGACTAATGCGTGGCAGTGGAACAGTGAGCATGGCTAATGTGACCATAGCATTTGGCAGAGACGTCTGATGAGGATGTAAATACAGCTGAGGCCTTTGCTCACGGCGGCTCACGGCGGCTCACGGCGGCTCACGGCGGCTCACGGCGGCTCACGGCCGCTCACGGCTGCTAACACTGACGACAGAGGTGTCAGTGGTTTCTGTACTGTATCTTTAAAGATGTTGTGGGGAATGACGATTGAAAGGTTCCGCGGCTGGTTTGATTTCTTCTTATTTTCTTGTCGAGAGTAGGCAGAGTAGGCAATGCTACATTCTACTTTGATATATATCCAAAAATACAATATTTCTACTGTCTGATATTGTGAAGAGGGAGCAGCGTCTGCAGTCAGAGCTGTATCAGACTGTTGGGGAAGACCCAGGACACAGAGGGAGGAGACCAGGTGGAGACCAGATAGAGACTACACCCAGATGAGCTGGAGGAGGTGTCTGTGGAGGGGGAAGTCTGAGTCTCTGCTCAGAATGCTGCCTCCTGACTCCGTGATGAGTTAAGTGGAACAAAATGGATGGATATTGATTCAACTCAATGTCTAATATCACATCTGACTGATGTCGAGATTGTAATTTTGCATTTTTTATATTTTTGGCCATCCCTAATTCCAACTATATAATCAACCATGGACAGCCTCCATCAGCACGTTATCTATTTTCCATCAGGGACGCAGACATGTAACCATCACAAACACAAACAAAGGCCATCGTCAGAGTTAGCATATTGATTTTCGCTCACAACATCAATTTCCTCATAATTCAGTCAGGAAGCGATTGATTCAACTGTACGAAATGAAACCAATGATGGACTTTGGCCTTCCCGCCACCGTCCGTTAGAAGCTCCTGATCAGTGAGAAACGGATGAACTTGAGATGATTCCAGGAGAACTTTCAGAGCGGATCATGATGAACTCAAAACACTATTTCCAGAGAATGCTTGGTTTGTCAGTGGCTGGAGTTTGTAGAACTCATTCATCGTCGTCCACTTCCTGCTAAGTCTGATGGAGCTGCGAGGGCACACCGGGGAAAGGTCTGAGGAAAGTAGGAGGTGTCCCTGGAGGTGGAGGAAATATGTCTGAGACCAGGAGTCCAGAAACAGACACGCACAGACTGCCGGGACAACCTCTGTATACTCCTTTATAACCCTAATAATAATAATAATACATTATTATTATTATTATTAATATTGTTATTACCTTCCCGTTTGGCGCCTGTTCGTTTCCAAAACATTGATATTTTTCAGCTTTTTCGGAAACACACATTTGTCGCAAGGTTGTTCTAGTTCCTTTTCCAAGAATACAAAGTGTTGGGATCAGGAGGTTGTGTTTTACATCGTGGCCAGTGCACATCAGAACAAATGGATTGGATTAACAGAGAGTAGCAGAGAGTAACAGAGAGTAACAGAGTAAGAGAGAGTAAGAGAGAGTAACAGAGTAACAGAGAGTATTAAAGAGTAACAGAGTAACAGAGAGTATTAAAGAGTAACAGAGAGTAACAGAGTAATAGAGAGTAACAGAGTAACAGAGAGTATTAAAGAGTAACAGTAACAGAGAGACAGAGAGTAACAGAGAGTATTAAAGAGTAGTAGAGAGTATGATTCAGAGCTATTTATTAATTTAAAATTAATTTATTATTAACTTTAAATTTAAATATTAATTTATTTCTATTTTCCACAAATGTTTATCGTCACATTTGAAACATTTGTCGGTAGAATCTACTTTATCTCTGTGTCCTGAGATGTGAGTATGTTTATATCTGTGTGATCCACAGACGGATCAGTCCAGACGCACAACACCACATACGGATCAGTCCAGACGCACAACACAGACGAATCAGTCCAGACGCACAACACCACAGACGGATCAGTCCAGACGCACAACACCACAGACGGATCAGTCCAGACGCACAACATCACAGACGAATCAGTCCAGACGCACAACACCACAGACGGATCAGTCCAGACGTACAACACCACAGACGGATCAGTCCAGACGCACAACATCACAGACGAATCAGTCCAGACGCACAACACCACAGACGGATCAGTCCAGACGCACAACACCACAGACGGATCAGTCCAGACGCACAACACCACAGACGGATCAGTCCAGACGCACAACATCACAGACGAATCAGTCCAGACGCACAACACCACAGACGGATCAGTCCAGACGCACAACACCACAGACGGATCAGTCCAGACGCACAACACCACAGAGAAAACAGGGACTTTGTGATTCTTTTCAATCCTAGAGACCGTTCATAATGTTTTCAAATATAGATCTTTTATACGTGTCCTCAGACAACAGGGCACAGGTACACCACATATATGAAACAAATGATAAATAAATAACATAATTTCTATAATATTTATGGATTTATGTTTATCCAATAAGAGAGCAGAATGAGTCCCTCTCAATTGTGTAGCTCATTTAGTTTGCAAGATAATTTTTAGCTGGTTTTGGCTCCGTCGTTATTTTGATTTTCCCAAACAACAACATAGCACCGCACCGTATACTGTAAACTATCTCACAATAATAATAATAACAGTTATAATAAAGAAAACATAGCACCACACTTGTGTTAACATGACAGGTGCAAATATTAAGATATACGTAACACAGAGAGTTTGTAATATTTCTAAACTCCAGTAGGTGGATTGCATCAGTAGACCACATGTGTCACAAGGGTTAAGATTGTAATTCTGACTTTAATAATTACATACAGCCCCTTTAAGTCTTCTTTCGCTATAGTCTCAATTATAAATGCTAACAAGCTGCTAACGTTTGCCGGACTTTACTGCATTATTATGACACGGAACCAAAACCACGGCTTTTACACCTGCACTTTAAGAATATCTCTGGCTCAAGACACGGCAAACCAGACACATACTGTCCACACATACATGTGGGCTGAAACACGGATCCAAAACCCTCTGACAACCAACAAAACATCAAAATATGTGGGAAAAAAATACTAAGACATTTCATATAAATCAGTGCCACCAGAAGCTGTGGAACTACAATAATATCATACATGAAGCATGTGGAACTACAATAATATCATACATGAAGCATGTGGAACTACAATAATATCATACATGAACCGTGTGGAACTACAATAATATCATACATGAAGCATGTGGAACTACAATAATATCATACATGAAGCGTGTAGAACTACAATAATATCATACATGAAGCGTGTAGAACTACAATAATATCATACATGAAGCGTGTGGAACTATAATAATATCATACATGAAGCGTGTGGAACTATAATAATATCATACATGAAGCATGTGGAACTATAATAATATCATACATGAAGCATGTGGAACTATAATAATATCATACATGAAGCTGTGGAACTATAATAATATCATACATGAAGCTGTGGAACTATAATAATATCATACATAAAGCATGTGGAACTATAATAATATCATACATGAAGCTGTGGAACTATAATAATATCATACATGAAGCTGTGGAACTATAATTATATCATACATGAAGAATGTGGAACTATAATAATATCATACATGAAGCATGTGGAACTATAATAATATCATACATGAAGCATGTGGAACTATAATTATATCATACATGAAGAATGTGGAACTATAATAATATCATACATGAAGCATGTGGAACTATAATAATATCATACATGAAGCATGTGGAACTATAATTATATCATACATGAAGAATGTGGAACTATAATAATATCATACATGAAGCATGTGGAACTATAATTATATCATACATGAAGAATGTGGAACTATAATAATATCATACATGAAGCATGTGGAACTATAATTATATCATACATGAAGAATGTGGAACTATAATTATATCATACATGAAGAATGTGGAACTATAATAATATCATACATGAAGCTGTGGAACTATAATAATATCATACATGAAGCATGTGAATCTAAAATAATATCATACATGAAGCTGTGGAACTATAATAATATCATACATGAAGCTGTGGAACTATAATAATATCATACATGAAGCTGTGGAACTATAATAATATCATACATGAAGCATGTGGAACTATAATAATATCATACATAAAGCATGTGGAACTATAATAATATCATACATGAAGCATGTGGAACTATAATTATATCATACATGAAGAATGTGGAACTATAATAATATCATACATGAAGCTGTGGAACTATAATAATATCATACATGAAGCATGTGGAACTATAATTATATCATACATGAAGAATGTGGAACTATAATAATATCATACATGAAGCTGTGGAACTATAATAATATCATACATGAAGAATGTGGAACTATAATTATATCATACATGAAGCTGTGGAACTATAATAATATCATACATGAAGAATGTGGAACTATAATAATATCATACATGAAGCATGTGGAACTATAATTATATCATACATGAAGAATGTGGAACTATAATAATATCATACATGAAGCATGTGGAACTATAATAATATCATACATGAAGCATGTGGAACTATAATTATATCATACATGAAGAATGTGGAACTATAATAATATCATACATGAAGCTGTGGAACTATAATAATATCATACATGAAGAATGTGGAACTATAATTATATCATACATGAAGCTGTGGAACTATAATAATATCATACATGAAGCATGTGGAACTATAATTATATCATACATGAAGAATGTGGAACTATAATAATATCATACATGAAGCATGTGGAACTATAATAATATCATACATGAAGCATGTGGAACTATAATTATATCATACATGAAGAATGTGGAACTATAATAATATCATACATGAAGCATGTGGAACTATAATTATATCATACATGAAGAATGTGGAACTATAATAATATCATACATGAAGCATGTGGAACTATAATTATATCATACATGAAGAATGTGGAACTATAATTATATCATACATGAAGAATGTGGAACTATAATAATATCATACATGAAGCTGTGGAACTATAATAATATCATACATGAAGCATGTGAATCTAAAATAATATCATACATGAAGCTGTGGAACTATAATAATATCATACATGAAGCTGTGGAACTATAATAATATCATACATGAAGCTGTGGAACTATAATAATATCATACATGAAGCATGTGGAACTATAATAATATCATACATGAAGCATGTGAATCTAAAATAATATCATACATGAAGCTGTGGAACTATAATAATATCATACATAAAGCATGTGGAACTATAATTATATCATACATGAAGAATGTAGAACTATAATTATATCATACATGAAGCTGTGGAACTATAATAATATCATACATGAAGCATGTGGAACTATAATTATATCATACATGAAGAATGTGGAACTATAATAATATCATACATGAAGCATGTGGAACTATAATAATATCATACATGAAGCATGTGGAACTATAATAATATCATACATAAAGCATGTGGAACTATAATAATATCATACATGAAGCTGTGGAACTATAATAATATCATACATGAAGCATGTGGAACTATAATAATATCATACATGAAGCATGTGGAACTATAATAATATCATACATGAAGCTGTGGAACTATAATAATATCATACATGAAGCATGTGGAACTATAATTATATCATACATAAAGCATGTGGAACTATAATAATATCATACATGAAGCTGTGGAACTATAATAATATCATACATGAAGCATGTGAATCTAAAATAATATCATACATGAAGCTGTGGAACTATAATAATATCATACATGAAGCTGTGGAACTATAATAATATCATACATGAAGCATGTGGAACTATAATAATATCATACATAAAGCATGTGGAACTATAATTATATCATACATGAAGCTGTGGAACTATAATAATATCATACATGAAGCATGTGGAACTATAATTATATCATACATGAAGAATGTGGAACTATAATTATATCATACATGAAGCATGTGGAACTATAATAATATCATACATGAAGCTGTGGAACTATAATAATATCATACATAAAGCATGTGGAACTATAATAATATCATACATGAAGCTGTGGAACTATAATAATATCATACATGAAGAATGTGGAACTATAATTATATCATACATGAAGCTGTGGAACTATAATAATATCATACATGAAGCATGTGAATCTATAATATCATACATGAAGCATGTGGAACTATAATAATATCATACATGAAGCTGTGGAACTATAATAATATCATACATGAAGCTGTGGAACTATAATAATATCATACATGAAGAATGTGGAACTATAATAATATCATACATGAAGCATGTGGAACTATAATAATATCATACATGAAGCATGTGGAACTATAATAATATCATACATAAATCATGTGGAACTATAATAATATCATACATGAAGCATGTGGAACTATAATAATATCATACATGAAGCATGTGAATCTATAATATCATACATGAAGCATATGGAACTATAATTATATCATACATGAAGCTGTGGAACTATAATAATATCATACATAAAGCATGTGGAACTATAATAATATCATACATGAAGAATGTGGAACTATAATAATATCATACATGAAGAATGTGGAACTATAATAATATCATACATGAAGCTGTGGAACTATAATAATATCATACATGAAGAATGTGGAACTATAATAATATCATACATGAAGCATGTGGAACTATAATAATATCCTACATAAAGCTGTGGAACTATAATAATATCATACATGAAGCATGTGGAACTATAATAATATCATACATGAAGAATGTGGAACTATAATAATATCATACATGAAGTATGTGGAACTATAATAATATCATACATAAAGCTGTGGAACTATAATAATATCATACATGAAGAATGTGGAACTATAATAATATCATACATGAAGCTGTGGAACTATAATAATATCATACATAAAGCTGTGGAACTATAATAATATCATACATGAAGCTGTGGAACTATAATTATATCATACATGAAGCATGTGGAACTATAATAATATCATACATGAAGCATGTTATTAGATAGTAAGTATATAGTGTTAGAAGTATATATATTTATATTAGTATTTATATATACAAGTATATATTAGAAGTATTTAATAATATCGTACCTGAAGCGTTTGTCTTTGGACAGGGCTCTACTGACGATTGCTGAAGGACCCCCGTCCTCGGCCTTGGTGCCCGCTTCGTGCCCGTTCTGCGGAAATAAAGAATTCA